ATACACCATCACCTGACTTGGTCTACCGAAAACCTCCCACTGCCACAACTGTCCCCACCGTAGCCGTCACCATCACCGACGACCCCACTGTAGTCGTCACCATCACCGACGACCCCGCCTTCAAACGCCCCTACAATTCCAACGCTCTACGAAACCACTTTGAAACTACCATGATACAGCCATAACCATTAATCAAAACCACCACAACCACCCCGAAGCCCCACCACCACCAGAAAAACCACATACAACCTCCCAATTACTACTAATTTTAAAATTAAAAAAAATTATAAGTGAAAAAATTACCTTGTTATATCATCAAATATGGCTTTAGATGGTCAAATACACCCATAAAAACTCCAGATCTAGAGTTTTTAAAGGTGAATGTGACCTTCAAAACCTTTAATTTTACAAGTATATATATTTCATGGTGGAGGTACTAGAATAAGATGAGAGAGAAAATGTTGTTTATGGGGCCTTAGAGGGGCAGCGGCGTGAAGGTGGCGGTGTGAACAATTGGCGGTGAGAATAGGGTCGGGAAGGGATCAAGGCTGGAGGTGTGGATGGTGCTCCATTAATATGAGGGAGAAGACTGGAAGTTTTTTCAGAAGTGGTGGAAGACAACTTATTACTTATGTAACCAAACAACATACTACATCAAAGGGTATCATTTCCTTTCCCCCTCAATCCCTTTCTTGATTTCATTCCGTTTACCCCGTCTGAACCAAACGACCCCCAACGTCTTTGTTTTAAATGCATCACTTCTATATTTGATAACTTTTTATTATGGAATACTATATTTTACTCCCTTCGTTTCAGTATGATAGTCCCATATAGAATCAATCACATAAAATAAGAAAAAAATAATACTTGAAATCTAACATTAAAATACAAAAAATGTTCATAATTAATTTTGCCTTATTTAAATTTTTTTTTTTTTTTTGAAATTCAAGGGTGGGATTTCCTTACTTAGAGCTATTACATCAATCAACAATTAATTAAGGGCTCGTTTGGCATCACTTTGGTTTTCTGTTTTTTGGTTTTTTGTTTTTTAAAACCATATGATATATGTCTTATAATGAATAAAAAAAAATAGTCAAACTTATTAAAATCATGCTAATTTTGAAACTGACAACAGAAAGGAGAAACACCTTTTTCTTGTTTCCTGTTTTTGGTTTTTTGTTTTTTAAAAAAACTGATAACTAAAAACTAAAAATGATTCCAAACAAGCCTTAATTTAACCAATTAGAATTTAATATGTATAAAATGGGATATATGTAACACCCCCGATTTACTAATTAATAATAAACAAGAATTTAAGGAAAATAAACGACCTTTAAATAATATTTGCGGAAGCATACAACTAAATCGGAGGTATTACCGCCACACTCAACAACCTATCAAGTGTTAAGGATTACAAAATCCCAGCTATACAACTCAATAAACTAAGTGAGCTACTTATACAACTTTACAAACTCGTTATAACAAACTAATTGATCGCTTGAGCTCCTTTAGCTACGATCACTTGATCAACCTGCTTAAATAATCTTGTCTGCTCACTATTAAGGACAAATTCCAAAATAGATCGTAGCAGGGCCACCATAAGAAAAAGACATGGCCACAAACACAAATAGCACAACAAAACAACACACACACGTCAGTAAAAAGCTAAATAATCACCACTTATCAGAATATAGAGTATAATATAATAATTAACATTACTAGATCAATTAAACAATGTAGTTCGAAACTACATTACACATTGTACTCTAAAAAACAACCTTTATCAACTCAACCTCGAATATTAATAATCCTTTACTCAACTAACTCGTAACCAATAAGTGTGCCATGCTCTTTGTTCTATACCTAGCCCTGGGCATGAGTAATTCGAATAACAAACCAACAAGTATAAAAACTTGAATACTCCCAATAACTAGAAAACACCTTGAACCAGACCACATACGGGCCAATTCCCACTGTAGGGAACCATAGAAAAACAAATAATAAAGATTGTACCTCATTCTTAACTCGTGATTACCATCTCCTTACCAACATGCCAAGAACTAAGGTTTATAGCGCCGAGCCTCAAACCAAGAATAAAATAATAATTCTCAACCTTTTGATCTCATACATTGATCAAATAATCATTCACATGATAATAAATAGTAACTCAATATTGGCACAGGTTCCCAATTCATATATGACAACATATTCGGCTCATCAAATACCTCAACTCTTATAGAACTAATACTAGTACCCAAAATTAATTAACTCTCAACCCAAAAATAATACTCTACATTAATAACCCTAAACCTCGATAAAACAATATTCCCTATAGCAACAACATTAAAACCCTAGAAATAATCAATCATAAAAGTAATACGATTCTCATATCTAATCAAATCATATAATACCAATAATCAATCATATATATATACAAACTTGATCACACAAATTACGATTATAACATCTACACATAATAATAATACAGAGTACAGATAATAAATCAAATCATACATAATAATACGAAATATAATACAAGCATCCCAAAATTTCGTGAGATTACACATAATAAGCAACACAACCAAAATACTATCAAATGACTCCGAGTGTGTCAGTGTGATTACCTTATTACCAATAATGATACTATATACTGATAATAAGAAATAGACGACCCTTTCTCTCTCTAACCCCAGCCTTATCCTCAACTGCCTCCATCGCTCCTCCTTTTCTCACCCCCTGCTCGCCGGCGACTGGCAGGCTCCGCCTAGCCGTCGTCGGCGAGCATATCCCTGCAATTTCCTTTCTTTTCCAATTATTTAGTTTTCGTTTTTGGTTAGTTGGTGTGGAAGTCAGGGGTTCGATCTCTTGGTCGTGGTTTTGTTTGGATTAATCGTCAGTGTTTAGCGGCCTACTGTAACAAGTCAAGAACTAAAGGCTAGCCTTAACGCCGCCATTGAAAGGAACTTCGTTAATAGATTCCTGACGGTAAAGGTGAAGTTAGGGTGCTAGCCTTAACGCCGCCGTTGAAAGGAACTTCGTTAATAGATTCCCGACGATAAAGGTGAAGTTAGGGTTAGGGTTTCCTCGCGTACCCATGGGTTGGTTCAGTGAGGGGTTCTTTGTGTTGCCGTGGACGATTGCTCCGGGTGGTGGGTTGTTTGCTACTGTGAGGGCTGCCGTAGAGGTTCCCTTTTCGCTCCCCTGTTTCTTCTTGCTAGTTTACATACTGCTTTGTTTATTTTAGTTGTTTTTTTAATTTTATTTTGCTTTAGTTTACTTTTGTTGTGTTTGCTTATGTTGTGTGATTGGTTGTTTAGTTTTCTTTGTTTAAATAATTCTCTGCTTAGGCATGAGTTAGAGTGTGTTGGAGTACTTCTTGTTTCGGGAGTTATCGAAGTGTTGTTGTGGTTTTTGGAGCCTAGTTTGTGGTTTTTGTGGGTTGTAAGATTAAACGCCCCCTTTTTCGTTGGGTGGGTGGTCCTACTTGGAGCCTTGTTGGGGTGTAAAGGTGTTCACTTGGTAGTTAATACAGTTTTCCAAGGGGGGAAGTTAATTGCGCAGCTGGATGATTCTCTATGCATATGGAGTTTGCAGGAGAAGTGTGGTTTTGGGGGAAGAGCTTGGTTTGTCGATCTTTTTGCTGGGTTGTGGGATGATATAGGCATTCAGGCAATTGCTATCATCCCGTTGTTAGTGTGGGTGATGACAAGGTCAGTCATCGCTGTTAACCAGTATCTTGAAGGAGGCTACCCATCTTTAATGTTTGGGTTGAGCAAAGTCCTCCATTTTCTTGCATTCTGTGTCAGTAGAATTGCAAGAGGAGAACCTGCATTTGGATGCACGATTTCTCATAGAGTCATTAGAGTATATGACTCTATAAGTTTTGTTTGGAGACTCCTAGGATGTAGTTTTGTTTTTCGATCCCTAGGAGTGGAATGGTGTCATAGGTTAGGTCTTCAGCAACAGGGTGCTTTTTTCGGGTTCTTTCGTTTCCCAACAGTTTCCATCATGAGTTCCCGTCGCTTTCAATGCCAATTCGGGTTCTTTTCAAGGTTTATTATCTGCGCGCTCGGTCCATCTCGACAGTTTCAGTTCAATCGGCTTCTCTTGGTCCACAATTTAGATGTGATTTGGTATTCTGGGTTGTCCAGGCTCCGTGGCTCTTGGTCTGCTGCACGATCTTTTCAGTATTTTCTTATCTTCGATCCTCCTGAACTAGTTCTTAGTGTGTGTGGTTTTTTTATGTTCATGTATTAGTCTGTTTAGGTTGTAATCCTGTTTTTCTTTAATAGTATCTTTTGTCAAAAAAAATAAAATAATGATACTATATATTGATAATGCGTGAAACAAGCAAGAGATAAGTCAGAGCTCACGCCATAAAGCTATCACAAAATATGGTTGGTTGGCGTCTTAGGCGAGTTACAGGAGTATATATGATTATTAACATATGATTATCAAAAGAATACAAATCAAGATCAAGATGATGATGATGAGGGATTATACGCATAATGGGCTATCATGACTAGCAAAGTGATTTGGTTTTGATGAAGAAAACACACAGGAAGGAAAAGCAACGAATTGAAGAAAAAGAAGTGAAATTCCAAGGATTTAATAAAAGTTGCACATAATACCTAATATAATTAGGGTTATAAGCTTTTTAAATAATATCTTATAAAAGAATCCTACTAGACTTAAAATAGGTTTTAAAAATTACTTTATTTATTTTTTTCTATAAAATATATTATATAAAATCGTAAAATATCCGGGTATTACAATATAAAACTAAGTTTAAAATGGAATATATTCAATATGGATAGATTAATTTGAAACACCTAAAATAGTATATGGTACCAAGGACCTGTTCACATTTACTTAATTTTCGTTCAGTTCAGTTTAATTTAGTTCCCAATTTCCCTCTCTCATAAAATATTCATTTTAGCTCAGTTCAGTTCAATTCAGCTCCAATCAGTTCAGTTCAGCTCAGTTTAGTAAATGTGAATAGGCCCTAAGTGACTAACATAATGAAACAGAAGGAGTATCATTTTTCTCTCATATTTTAAACACCATTTAAATTATTTTATCATTTCTCTCTCTTCCATGTTCCCCACTTAAATACTACCTCCGTTAACAGTTATCTACAACAAAGGGCCTTTGCGCGGACTCCTAGGCAAAACTTTTAAAGTATGATTAATGAAAAATAAGGGCACTTGGTTAAGTATTAATCCTACTTAAAAAAAACAAAAAAAACAAAACAAAAACAAATTAAACAAAAACCCATAACCACCGACACCTAGAACAACTAAACCCAAAACCACCGACAACCACCGGAACAACCAAACCCACCGACTGTTTGAATTCAAAACCACCACCGACATCCCACCACGAACCTAGCAAAAACCACCGAAACCCGACCACAAACCCCAATAAACCGCCCACGAACCCAACCAAAACCAAGAAAACCACCAACGAACCTAGCCAAAACCCAGCAAATCCACCCAAAACCGACGAAACGCCGCCCACAAATTAAACCACCGAAATCCACCCACGAATCACCGAAACCCACCCACAAACCACCGAAATCCACCCAAGAATCACCGAAACCCACCCATAAATAGGGCTAGCAAAAACTGACCCGACCCGAAAACCCGACCCGAACCCGATCCGAAAAAAGCGGGTTAGGGTTGAGGTTTCCGACCCGAAAACTTAAATGGGTCGACACGAACCCGAACCCAAAATTAAATGGGTTAGGTTAAGGTTGAAAATCTCAACCCGAAAACGACCCACTTAACCCGAAATAAATTTCAGGTCAAAATCAGGTCGGGTCAACCCGAACCCGACCTGATAACCCGAACTAATTTAAGTAAGAAAAAGAAAAAAAACGTAAAAATCTTATTAAGCCCAGCCCAAATTCACAAAGAGGCTTCCATATATAAATTCAATACCCTAAATGAACTCATTTCCCCTCATTGATCTTCAGCCGTTTTTCCCCTCACTTCTCTCTCTTTAATTTTCTCTCTCCTCAAAAACTCATTGTTGAATTCGACAGAGGTAGTTCCGTTAAGCCCAACTTTACCATTGTCATTTCCTTGACGGCTTGAATCCTTCACTCCTCCACGAATTCCTCTCCTTCATCAAAGGTATCTTGCTTCTTAATTTATTTTCTGTTTTTTTTTCGTGTTTTTTATATGCTAGTTTTGTTTATTTTCTAATTCTTCTGTTGTTAATTTATATTTACTTGCTTCCGTTTATTTTAGTTTTTTACATGCTAATTTTCGAGTGTTATTACTAAATTCTGATGTTAAATGTTGTTGATTATGTTATTATACGGTTGTTTTTGCTAATTTTTTATTGTTAATGCTAATTTTTATTGTTAAATGTTGTCTATATTATGGTGACTCTTGCTAATATTTGTTGTTTACTTTTGTTTATCATGAGCATGCATGTTTTAATTTAGATCTTACTAGTTAGATCTAGATAATATAGTCTGATTTAGAATTGCATGTTTTAATTATGTTAGTGTTGTTTTTCTTTATAGGTTTGGCAGCAAGAAGTAGCCCACCCATGTTCAATTGGAAATGTTGTGGATCAATTTTGAAGCTTGAGGTGGTGAACACGGATGACAGCCATGACAAATTGACAGTCCCAACATCGCCCGATCTTAATCCAAATGAAAATCTTATTGCATCTTCTATTATTTTTTGAAAACTGTAATTTGTGTTATTAAAACTTTATCTTTGGTTTGTAATTAGTGAATTACAATTTTTATTGGTTTATTATCGTTAAGTAGGATTGTTACTTTGTTAGACTAAGCTATTTAATTTTGGTTTGAATTAAAATGCTTAACCTGAACAACTTGTATTTGAAATGAAAAAAAAGTTATTCAGGTCAATTTTGGGTTAACCCAAACTTGAATATATCAGGTTTGGGTCGGGTTAATTTCAGGTCAAAGAAACCTGATTTTAACCCAAATAAAAAATCAGGTCAAATAAGGTCAATTTCGGGTTGACCCGAATCTGAAAATATCAGGTTTAGGTTAGGGTTTTCAACCCGAAAAATTAAATGGATCAGGTTCGGGTTGGGGGTAGCTGACCCGAAATTTAGGTGACCCGAACACGAACCCGACCCGACCTGATCCATTTGCCAGCCCTACCCACAAACCACCAAAATCGACCCACAAATCACCAAAATCCACCCAAGAATCACCAAACCGCCACCCACAAACCACCGAAATCCACCCAAGAATCACCGAAACCCACCCACGAACCACAAAAACCACCCACAAACAACAACTACCACCAAATCTACCGTACCCATCCACAAACCACCAACATCCACCCACAAACCACTACCATCCACACACGGATTGAGATGAGAGATGACGATGGAGAAGAAGATGAAAGATAAAGAAGGAAGAAGATGAGAGATCAGAGATGAAGTTCTGATCAGAAGGTCGAAGAAGATGAGAGATGATGATGAACTAGAGATGATGATGATGAAATGGAGATGAATGGAGAGAGAGATGGCGGGGAGATGAAATTAGGATTAATCTGATTTTTGGGGGAAAAAAGCTTAGATGATTAAGTTAGATTAGGGTCATAATAATTTGTAATTATGTATGATAATATGGGTTAAAAAATTTTAAATGAGGGTATTTTGGTCATTTTACCAGAAAAAAAAATTACTATATTAGGAAAGAAATAGTTTTGTTGCAAATAATAGGTAGCACCCTTTTTTGGTAAATGGTGCAGATAACTGTTAACGGAGGTAGTAATAAAAATACAGTATCTATTTTCACTTGCATACATTTTTTCATGGTCACCATCTTACTTTTAGTATAATAATGTATTCACTCACTTACAATATTTTATTATTCACCAATTGATTGTTGGTGTAGTGGTGGTTAGAACTACACTTGGTAGAGAGGACTCGTGTTCAATCCCCCGCAACAACAATCGGGAGGGGACTAGAACCTAACCACCCAGAACTAATGCCCGAAACCGGATTAGCCCAAAAGGTGAACCGAACACAAAAAATAATAATAATTATTCTCCTAAAACTTAATTCATTCTCAAGTGATACAAATAAAAAAAAAAAAGAGAGAGAGAGAGAGAGAAAGAGTGAAAAATAATTTTTGCTGAAATTAAATTAATTTTTAGAGACGAAGTAATAATTTAATCAAAGTGTTTTGTGTGTGGCCAGCTAACACACGAGTAACCCCACCGGGTTCTTTGACCAACTGAGTAACCCTTGACCGACCGAGTAACCCCTCACCAAATAACCCCCGACTGATCGAGTGATTAAACCCCTGACCGAGTGAGTGAACCTTACCGAGAGAGTAACACCTGACCAAGTCACTCCAACCATTCTTTAAAAAAAACAATGTGGTTGGTCACACAGCGTGGCCAACAACATATGAAAGATTGTGTAATTTAATTGAACTTAATGTGAAATAAACGATTTTTTTTTTATTTTAAAAATAATTTAAGGAAAATAATAAACAAGGCCCTTATAAGAAGCTAATAGAGGAAATATTGAAGATAAAATAACATTAATTACACCAATCTGCGTATGATTTTGTTATGAATTCACAACTTAATTCCATTTCTAGAAGTATTTAACGTTTATATATATAGCCATAAGGGCTACATATATTATTATACATAATTTAAATGCTAATTTACTATTCATTGCTTTTTTTTAAGCCTATGTATCATGTAAAATTCTCAAATCTCATTTATTAATTTTGCCAACAATTTTAGTGTGGCTTGGCCATTGTTGGGCTACTTCGTTAGTGTAATAGAGGACGGTCGATGTCACAAGGTTAGTGGGTTATCTCGCTCGTGTTATATGGGTTACTCAATTGGTAAGGGTTACTTGGCCAATGTTAGGGTTAGTATGTTCTTTTACAAGTGGCCACATGCATATGGTGTTACAATTATTTTTGTTGATGTGCCGATTGATTTTTTTTTTATTCTAAATGTTTGTTTTATTTATATACATCGTGTATATTAGATTTTGAAGCGTGCCCATTTTTTCATTGTGAGAACAAATTTCGTTTCTCAATAGGCACTTTTATAAATATTTTGCATTGTAAACTGTATTGCTAAATTTAAAATGATATTTCTACTTTTTGTGCAATTGTGTGTATGTCACGTGCAGTTAACAACGTTAGAAGACCAGGCTATTTATCTTCTTCCTCCTATCCACCCTTCATCTTCTTCAACATCTTTTGTCCTCTCACTCACCTTCGTCCCCCAACTTCGACTTCACTAAAAAAACGCTCAAAGTGGGGAATTGAACCCGAGACTTCTTTATCAACAAGTACCATGAAAAACTCCAACAAACCAACTAGGCTATCACTAACATCATAATATGCAACACAAATATTAGTTATTTATTAGTTATTCTAGGGGGGGCACACTAAACATTACATATATCCAATTAGTATAATGTGCACCATGGTGCAACTAGAATTAAGTGCACTTAGAAATAGGTGCACCACGTATATACTTTTGAACATTTAATAAAAAAAATTTGGACATTTTACAAAAAAAATGAACGTTTAGTAAAAAAAAATATGAACACGTCACAAAAACTGAACATAAACATGCAATTTTTATGTTCATATTTTATAAAAAAATGTTCATTTTGTATACAACAAATGTTCAGTTTATGTTACAAAACTATTGAATTATTACGAATCAGACAAACTTCTTTCAAAATTTTTCTGACTCGCAATTATTCAAAATTTGTGATTGTTAAATTATTTTTACTAAATGTTTAAAATTTGTTTTTGTTTATATTTTTTTTACTAAATGTTCAGAAGTATAGGCTTGGTGCATTGCGATTGTTCAGATTTTTTTTTTACAAAATAGTTCAGATTTTTTTTACTAAATGTTCAAATTCGCGATTGTTCGGATTTTTTTTACTACATGTTCAAAAGTATAGGTGTGATGCATTGCGATTGTCAGATTTTTTTAACTAAATGTTCAAAATTTGTGTTGTTCAGATATTTTTACTCCATGTTCAAAATATGCAGTTGTTCAGATTTTTTTTACTAAATGTTCAAAAGTATCGGCGTGGTGCACCTATTACTAGATGCACCGCATCTTAAAATTTGCGACATATATCACCACTTGGGCCACGGGGGGGGCCGGGCCTCCACCAACCCCTCTGGCTCCGCCCATGCCACCGACCTCAATATTTCCATTAACCATTGACACTAGCATCGCATACACACCGTGAAATTAAACAAAAAACCTAAGAAAAAAGGGATAAATAAATGGCATGGTTAACCTTAAAGAGTTAGAAAGTTTTCCCTCCTCCATTGATTTCTCCATTAAAGTAGAATTTCCTTAGCTTGTGAGATTTCTCCATTAATGGTGAAGCAAGCAAGAAAAAGCAAGGAAAATTTTGTGGTACTTGCTCACGTTTGTCTTTCTCTCTATTTTGCAAGAAAACTCTAACAATATGTGTTGTGATTTTAGGTTACCTACAAATTAACTAAAGAGAATATAATCAAATGACACTCATGTGAAAAACTTATATTTTCCCTCAGACTTTTCTTTAAACAAATTAGTCAAATATAACCGCATAGGGTGACAAACCACACACAAATTTATTACTCATATCATTATTTTTTATTCATTTAAATTTGTGGAAGATCAAGAGACTATTCAATGGATACATAAAAAATGTAGCCATTGTAACTACTCTTAATCTCAACCGTTTAAATATTAATGATTAATCTTGTCCATTAATATATCTGACTTGTAAATTATAAATAATTTTAAATTTAATTTTTTTCTTTTTAAAAAAAAACTGAAAACATAACCGCTTGTCTCGCTGCCATTGATGCAATTCCAAGCATTCAACCTTCTGCCTAAATCTCATTTAAATAGGTATATGAAGGAGCAATTATCATGAATTGGATTAGATTAAAGTATAACCAATTAAAATCAATGGAAAATTGGTAACTAACCTTGAAAAAAGGAATACAATTTTATAGATTGGATAGTATTATACGAACTACATGGATATGTACAGTACATAATTATTTAATTACTCTTCCTTTCATCCTTGCACTAGTTAATTGATGGATTTCATTTAATTAAGTGGATTGTTTTGTTATTCATACTTTGGAGAAAATCATCAATGGAGTAGTTTACTGTGTAGAGAATTAAGGAAAACAAAGAAATTTAATTTCTTAGGTATTTTTATGGTCAACTTAAATCAACGGTCCCAATTATGATAATCAAGGGTATAGATTTCATTTTTGTGGTGGCAACAATTTTATTGTACCCATTGCAAAATTGTCCTTAAATTTGGAGCGATTTTCGTAAATAATGCTAAAATAAAAAATAATTCCGTATATATGTCAGTTTTAAAACTATTTACCGTGATACTGTACACGTAGAATTAGTGTAGGGTTGTAAAATCCGAGGCTATAAACCGCTAATAACAATAGCGGATTTTAAAAAAGAACCACTAATGTCATTAGCGGTTTATACTTAAAATACCCAGTAACTTATTAGGCTTAATGTTTAGATTCTTCAAATAGACCCGCTAATGGTATTAGAGGTTCTTCAAATAGAACCGCTAATACCATTAGAGGTTCTATTTAAAGATCCTCTAACCATTATAGGTTCTTCAAATAGAATCGCTAATGGTATTAGAGGTTCTTCAAATAGAACCGCTAATAGCATTAGAGGTTCTATTTAAAGAACCTCTAAACATTACAGGTTCTTCAAATAAAACCGCTAATGGTATTAGAGGTTCTATTTGAAGAACCTCTAATACCATTAGCGGT